GATATTTGGATAGCGCTGCATGAAAGATATGAAGGAGATAAAAAGAAAAGGATCATTGAGGCCCGAAACGACGTTTCAAGATTGACAATGAAGAAAGAAGAAAATTGGGAAGAATATCTATACAGATCAGAGAAGCTATTGGAACAAGCAAGAAACCTTGGTGCAGAGATAGAAGATCAAGAATTCACCACTTCAGTGATCAGAGGACTACCCCAAAAGTATAACCTTGTTGCACTTCAACTGAATTGCCAAATGAAGGTAAGCATTTCTGATCTTAAAAATTGCTTAAAACTTTACCATGAAAGATTCACTCATGAAGAAAAGGAAGGAAATTCCAAAGCATTCAATACAATACATAAAGAATCTTTCTCAAACAATAAGCATTTCCACAAAAATAGAAATAGTAATAAGCCTATTTGTTTCATTTGTGCTAAGCCTGGCCACAAGGCTATAGAATGTTGGCATAATCCTAAAAATAATAGAGGGAGTGAAAATAAACAAACCTCAAAGAATAAACCTGAACATCAAAATAAGGCAAAATTTGTAAATTTGCAACCTGAGGAACATGTGTCCAACATCAAAGAATATGAAACTACTCAACAACCTGAAGAATGGGTGGTTGATAGTGGGGCTAGCTGTCACATGACATCAAATAGAGATCTATTAAAGGAAGAAAGAGAGGTTCACAAAACAATAAAACTTGCAGATGACTCTGAAATAATATCCAATGCAGAAGGAGCAATTGAAATTGAAGGACAGAATAAGTTGATTAGGCTTAATGATGTCCTATATGTTGAAAAATTGTCAGGTAACTTAATGTCTGTTAACAAACTGGTAGATGACAATAAAAAAGTACTTTTTGATAAGGATGGAGGACATATAATGGAGGAAGATGGGGAGGAAATTTTGATGGCCCAAAGAATAAATGATTTCTACATAATCAAAACATCAGCACCAGAAGAAATTCCATCACAGGCTTTAAAGGCTGCTATTCATACCTGGAATGATTGGCACAAAAGATTGGGACACCTAAATGAAGAATACATGAAGCAAATGTTGAAGAATAATTCAGCTCACAATTTCAATACCCAATCCCAGAATATGGACACTTGTCAAGTTTGTATTCAGGCCAAACATCCTAGAACACCCTTCAAACCAGTCCTATATCCTCAATCTACTAGACCATTGGACTTAATACATATTGATTTGATTGGACCTATTCAAGAGGAATCAATTGGAGGTGCTAAATATGTATTAACACTTGTTGATGACTTTTCTAGAAAAATATTTGTAGAATTTCTCTCATCCAAATTGGAAACTTTTGACATCATCAGATCTTTCATTGAAGAAATTGAAAAGGAAAAAGAAATCAAAGTCAAACAATTAAGATCAGATAATGGAAAAGAATTCACAAATCATCAAATGACTCAATATTTAAAAGGTAAAGGCATAAAGCACCAACTGACAAATGTTTACACACCCCAACAAAATGGTATCTCAGAAAGGTATAACAGAACACTGATTGAAGGAACAAGAGCTTTGCTGATAGACTCACAACTTCCATTGAGATATTGGGCAGAAACAATGTCAACCTTTGCTTATTTGAAAAATAGAACACCTTGTAAAAAATTGGGATGGATAACTCCTGAAGAGAGATTTTCAAATAGAAAGCCAACTGTAGCTCATCTAAAGATATTTGGATGCATAGCTTACTACTTTGTACACAAGCACAAAAGAGGAAAATTTCAACCTACAGCCAAGGCTGGAATATTTGTTGGATATTCAAGCACAAGAAAGGCTTGGAGACTAATTGATCCTGAAAATGAAAATGTAATTGAAACAAGAGATGTTAAATTTCTTGAAAATAAATTAGGAAAGGAAATACTAAACAAAAATGATTCAGATGACACTCAAAAATATTTCCTTTACAATTTTCCAGAAGAGACTATCCCAGAAACTTTTGAAGAAGTAGAGAATCATGATGATCATTCTCATTCTGATCTTGAAAATCAAGTTGAACATTCTGAACTTCCTTACAATCTCAGACCAAATTTGAAAGATAAACTTTACTATGAGCTTTCTTCAGATGATGAACCTATTGAAGACAATGAAAGCAAAGATCCCACCTATGATCCAACTGTAGGAGCACTCAAGCTTTCCCATGGAAACTTGCTACCATCATCTTATGAAGAAGCAATTAATCATCCTGATTCACCTTTGTGGCAACAAGCAATGGATAAGGAAATTCATTCTCTTCAGAACCATCATGTATGGGACCTTACTGAATTACCTGAAGGTGCTAAAGCAATAAAATCCAAATGGATATTTTCAAAGAAAATGGATCCTCAAACCAATCAGGAGATCTACAAAGCAAGACTTGTTGCTTTGGGCTGCTCTCAGGAATATGGGACAGACTACACAGAAACCTTTTCTCCAGTGATGAAAACAGATTCATTTAGAACTCTTCTAGCCTATGCTACAATGGCAGGATATGAATTTCACCACTTTGATGTTGAAACAGCATTCCTGTATGGAAAACTTTCAGAGACCATCTACATGACCCAACCTCCAGGCTACCAGGATGACAAGAAAAAGACCTCTGTATGTATACTAAATCAGGCATTGTATGGACTTAAACAGAGTGGTAGGGTATGGTATGAAACATTTACAGAATATCTTTTTGAAATAGGTTTAACACAACTTAAATCTGATAAATGTGTTTTTACTTTTAGAAATGGCAATTCACATTTACTTTTAGGACTGCATGTTAATGATATGATAATCATTAATTCTAATCCTGAAATTTTGCATGATATAATACAAAAAATAAGACTTCACTTCAAAACAAAGGAAAGTCAAGTAGCGCCATCACAGGCCGTGACGTCACGTTGTGACGTAGCAGCTTAGCTATTCGCCTTCAAGATATTTAGCTTGAAATTAAAGGGGGGCTTTGTTGGATTTAATTTCCAAGCTTATTATCATTGATGATATTTTATTGATATCGGACTACTCTGTTGTTTGTTGATTGTTCGATAGCACTTATATATTTTGATTGCTGTATTTTCCCATTATATATATCTTTCTTTATATTATGTTATAATTGTAATGTTTGTATGATTAAATAAAATCATTAATTAAAAACTCCTTCATTAACTAAAAACTTCCTTCAAAAATGTAAATAGAGTCTCTTAAGAAAGACCACCTAAAAACATGAATCAACTTGTTTCTCCTGTTGGTGGTCTCTCATTGAAGATTCTAATTGCTATTAAAGAATCTCTAATAGACCTTTAATAAGAGACTGCCTCTTGGAGAGACGGTTTAAGCTACGAAATGGATATTCCCGGCTTCGCCCGGGTTTTACCCGAGTAAAGGTTTGTCTAACGAATCTATCGATAAAGTGAACATTTTTTCCCGGTCCCTTGAAAAATACTCGATAAGTTGAATAAAATCAATATTAATTGGTTCCCTCGGTAATTGGAAGTTAAAGGAATAGTGCCTTTGAATTGTATCATTATTCTTGTCTCAAATAAATTGCCGTGTCATCCTGAATTTTGTCTTTCCTAATTTTCTACATTACAAAATCATCGTATCATCATGATAATATTTAGAGCAGATTGTTGAATTATAACAGATAAATTAGAATATTTATCTTGATTATTTCTAGGCGAAAAGTTATTTCAAAAATTTTATTTGCTAGAAACCTTCCCAGTACTATACTAAATAACTTCCCAAAGTTTCATGGCGATTCAATGAGTGGTTTGGTCAGGCATAAAGGACAAACAAACAAACAAACAGACACACATACATTCATTTTTATATATATAGATACATCAATAAAAAAATAATTAAATTAGCATTATACTCTGACATACTAAGCAATGAATTTTATACAGCCTATTGATATATTTGAATCAAATTTAAATTCACACAGTTAAAACCTACATTTTTTCTCAAAAATATCTAAAAGAATTTTAAATTTAAAATTAATTAAACATAATAAATATTTTATTTTTCAGGATTTAATGTATTTTTAGATTCAATGAAGAAATTTCAAAATATGTCACATTTGGAAAATAGTTCAAACCAGCCACCCTAGATGGCACCACAAACCCATAGACGCCAGTTTGGTCGTGTGGTTAGAATTGTTGCTTTGCGGTATTTGACGACATAGCTTTCAATCAACAGAATTTAATTTTAAAATATCACCTGAATACACCATATAGTCCTAAAATATAGAGATGTTTCAAATTTAATTTCAAAGTATTAAAAAAATATTTAGTGAAGAATATATATATACACGAGGGATTTTTTATAAGAACATAAACCTCCGAACTTAACAACTTAGTTTATACTATTGAGATGCATAAGTAATAAACCCTATAAGAGGTATGTTATAATATATAGTATATTATTATTATAATTATTATTATTATAACTTATTGTAACCTTTAAAAAAGATAGTTTTTATAATACATTATAAATATTTTAAAAAATGAATATTATAAAATAAATAAAGCTTCCAGGATTAGGTTTCTTGTGCAACATTTTATTTTCAAGCTTTCGGATTCGTCAGTCCTTCAACAGGATTATCACGTTAACAGCTTAATAATAAAGACAATATTTATATACACATTATTATATACCTATTTTGAATACTTATTATATATTGAGAGAAAAATATATTACATTATTTTTGTGTGAAAAACAAAATTTTGAAAATATACGTGCATGGTGGCTCATACCTGCTGGTTGAATGGATCTTTATAGTTCAACACATACATTTTTCACAGACATTTTATTTTTCCGTTTATCATTACTCTTCATAATTCATCCTTAAAGTTAGATATAATCGTTGTTTCTCCTTAAAAATACATTTTGATTTTTCATTGAAGAGAAATTCATGTGGGATAATTTACAAAGGTCGTTTTACATTATCAAGCCGCATTATATTAGATTGTATTATAAATTACTTTATGTATTATTTACGAACGGAAAAATATGTCCAGGGTAGCCTAGGGGACATGGCATCTGCCCGGTAAAAGGAACACTGTTGGTTCGATTCCCATCCCGGGACACTTTTATTTTTCCGTTTATCATTACTCTTCATAAATCATCCTTTCATACCTCATCCTTAAGGTTAGAAATAACCATTGTTTCTCCTTGAAAATAAATTTTGATTTTTCATTGAAAAAAAACTCATGCGGGATAATTTTCAAAGGTCGTTTTACATTCACAAGCCGCATTATATTATATTGTATTATAAAAGAAACAGGTTATACATTTAACTTATCTCAACCGATAGTTTTTTATGACAATTTCCACAGTAAATACCAAAGACTTTTAATAGAATCTATGATAGCCGAAAGCAAAAAATCATAAACAGATGCATTGAAATATCAGAAACATACGAAACAATATGGACAAATACTATCCCATAGATGTAGGAACTATTCTATATAAAACACAATAGTTCACATATTCATTAAATTTAATTTGAAGTCTCGAGTTATCCTTCAACTAGTACACATATTTTCAAAATTTTGTTTTTCACACAGAAATTATGTAATATAATTTCTCTCGCAGTGCGCCATCTAGTGGAGCAAAAATAAACTAAAGGTTTAGTTAACTTGTTCCGTAATATTTAGCCAACCCAAATAAAAAAATGTTTAGTGTATATTTGTTTCACTAGATGGCGCTCTGCCATCTAGAAATACTCATGTGAGCTCTGTCAGGATATGCCTTTTTTATTTTTAATATCAACACCTGACCATTTTATATTTCATATATTTTTTTTTTCACTTTTTTTCCATAATAAATTTATTTATTTATTATAATTCATCTATCGATGAAATTGGTAATAATAATTGTTTGGCAATGTGTGTTTCTTGGCCAATATTATCTTTACAGCCCGGTAAAATCTGTAGGGATGATATATGATGATATCTGTGTGGAAAAAAAACCTTACTATATATAATATTTATTATTATAAAATTTATAATATTTTTTATTTATCTTATATTTAAGAAAGATTTCTGCTGTTGACTTTGGAATATTATTTTCTAATTATATTTTGGATACATAAGTATCATTATGATATTGTTTCGCAGTCGGGGCAATAATAATAATAGTCTTGATCAGAGATTTCTTTAATTGAGCTAAGGAATATATAAAAAACATAATTTGACAAAAGTAATACCTGGCTTGAGGCGTAAGAATAAAATAATGAAAAACTTATTTGCATAATGTACAAAAGATTTGAGCCGGCCATCGGGAAACAACAACAATGAGTTTTTATAGGAGAAGAGTGACCTCTGGCGGTCGATTTAACAGAGTATTTGAATCTATGAAATATAATTTTTTAAATAAAATAATATTTTTATAACATGTATATGTTCGAATCGTCAAATAAATGATCTAAAATTAAAATTTTCACTGTTTTATATTTTTTTATAAAATATTTATTTTTCTTTTTTAATGAAGGCCATTAATTACCTTAATTCCTACAAATTTATAAATTAATTTTTATGTATTCAAAGTATATAAATATGAAAATTCGAAACTATTATAGACGCGTATGATTCTTTTAAAATAAAACAATTTCTACTGCCCTTACTGCAATGGAAAAAATTATTGGGAGGGCCTGAGTCATCAGTGGTGAACCCACTCAGCAGTTTCGCCAGCTTAATAAATTTTGTTCACAACAAATATATATGAACGTGAAATATATATCTCATTATATTGTTATAACGTTATTTTATGTTGCAAAGAGAATATATATTATGGGTTATATATTCCGAACCTAAATATATATTATATATATTATTTTTGTTCACTTTTCTTAGAACCTTTAATGGAACTGATTCACGTAAGATAGAAATGAAACATTACTTTTGTTAAGTTACAAGTAAGAGAAGAAAAATTAATCTTTATCAACAGTAAATAAAAACCTTTTTCTCTTTTTTTCGGTCAGTGTCTATTTTTTAAGATCTTAAACACTATATATACTCTTTAATTAAAAATGCCTATATTGGATCAAAATATCATTTATTTTACCAATATTTCAGTTGGATGAACGACAACCTTTATCAAGGTATTATAACATATTGATGTACCCCATATTAAAATATTCTGTGCAAACAAATTATTCTATGTTAAACTTAAAATATATAGGAAGAATTATTTTGGCGGATGGTCTAAACCTTTGGTTTTCGACCGCTACGACCCGGGTTCGATTCCTGTATTGGACATTTTTTTCTGATTTAAAAAAAAATGCCCCAATGGCCCACGATTCTTGCAAAAGTCAAACCCCACCAGCGAGTGTAAGTAACCAAACGGGGCTCTGTCACATATGTAAGTGCAAAGTCCAACTGCTATTCACATGTGTAGACATGTGTTGCACTTACAGTTAAAGCAGTCGCCTACTTTTACCCACCATGATTATCATGGCATGTACCACGTGTACTAGGGTCAGTCAACTGAAATATTGGTAAAATAAATGATATTTTGACCCAAAATATGCCTTTTTATTTAAAGATGTATTTATGGATTGCTCTATTTTCAATTTATATATATATCGTATATTTTAAACTGTATAATAATGACACTTTTAGTATATGTCACATATCTTCCAATTAGTTAAAGCCGATACCTTATATTATCCTACTTTCTATTGAAATGTACACTATTTCTATTTACTACAACCCCATATTTTGTATATAAACTATTTGTATTTTAACCTCCTAATTGTATTTAAAACTAAAAATGGTGACGTCAAAATAAAGATCCAAAGAGTGGTCTGTCAGCTGGTGGCAGGGACAGAGGGGAGGAAAAAGGCAACGCCCAGCCCATGTGGGGTCCCGAGGGACATTTTTATAGACGACCCCTGTAAACAGGAAAGGTTTTGGCAGGGGGTCAGCAAATGTTCTAGGGTGTGGCCATCGGCAGGCGGCACCTGTCTCTTACACTTTCGCTCTCCATGTCTCGGTGATAGGCATCCAAGCTTGTGTCATGGCCTCTACCTCTGTCCCGTGGGCTGTCCCCGATCACTCTCTGTGCTAACATCTAGCCCTTTCTCTGCTTCTTGTTGTCCGCGTGTGGGAAGAACATCAACGCTCGCCTCACCTACACGACTGCCAGTTCATCTATTCGTCGGCACATTTGCAAAAATATTACATATATATATATGTTTTTATATGTGTCTCTTAAGAAGTTAATGTTCATAGGTTCCCTTTACGCCTATTCCCTGGAGATTAAGCTCGATAAACCATTGGTAGTGTTAGCCATTAATCGACTATGCCTTCCCATTCATCTGCAGAATAACCATTACTTTTGAGCACATTTTATCAGTAATTTCTATTTCTTAGAGTTTTAGAGAATATTATGTCCGTAGTTTCTTTAAACAATCATTCTTTTTCACTACTAATGATCCATACCTCAATTAAAATTTTGTCATTGTAGTATAAGGTCTGTAAAAAAAGGTTTTTAATTATTTATTTACTTATTTATTATCGAATCAGACACGATATCCCCACAGGTGATGCTTGCGTCAAGAAACAACACTAAACTTAGATACTATATTACACAAACAATTGAATAATTACATGGTTTGAGTAGAGTTTAAAGAGGAGAGAAAGGAAAGGACATTAAAATCATGCTTGAATTTACAACCAACCAATGGAATGAATAAATATACCTAGTTTGGAAAAATTACGGGTTTTTTTTTAACCAAGAAAGAAAATCATAAATAAATTTACAGAATTTGCTAAATTTAAAATGTACACGCTTGTTTGGCTGAACATATATTAAAATAGGAACGATACAGAGAAGATTAGCATGTTCCCTGCGCAAGGATAATACGCAAAATCGTGAAGAGTTCTGTTTTCTTTTGTATACAAAGTTTATCATCTTTAAATATATATATTGTCACCTTTGCTTGAGACCATTTTAATATAAACGAACCAACATCATAGTGCACCAATCTAAAAGTGTACAGCGAACAGGTTCTTAATTGCCAGTGATTGTCTCATCGAACAACTGACAAAGGCGGATAGAGAATATGAAGAAATTGAAGATGTCGATATCGTTCAAGCGAATCTATTTGGAAAGTCTGAAGGCGTTTTGCAAAAAATTTAACAATTGCTGGCAAAACCAACAGTAGACCGAGAATCAATAGTTTCTGGGGGGAACAAAGGAAAGTCAAATCTTCATTGACTTCCGAAGTTGGAACTACCGAAATTTAGAGGAGAAGCTCGGGAGTGGCTTCGGTTCTGGTCAGCCTTTCAAAGCGTCCACGATGATGACTCCATTTCGGCCTGTGTCAAGTTCCAATACCTACAAAATTGCATGATAAAGAGATCGGTGTCGGAGGAAATAGTTTCATCCTTTCCAAACTCAGCGGCAAATTATCCACTTGCCATCAGCACTCTTAAGGAACGTTTTGGCCGAGAAGACATGTTGGTGGAAGTGTACGTAAGGGATTTGATTGCTATCTATTTGGAAAATGCTTATGGAAGGAACACGACATCTTTTTCGACTTTATACGTTCGGTTATCGTCACAACTACGAGCTTTGGGATCTTTAGGAGTCACAACAGATAAATGCGCTGCTATTCTGTACCCCATGATAGAATCAACTTTACCCGAAGATCTCTTCGTCGCGTGGGAAAGGACTCGTCATCATCACAAGCCTGATGAAGATGAAGCATAAATCAAGTGAAGTTCTCCTGGAGAAGCTTATGGAATTCCTAAAACACGAAGTTGAGGGAAGTGAAAGAATGCCTTTAGCTCGTCAACCGTTTTCGAGTTCGTATCCATCACAATTTAATCGAGATAAGCCGCCCAAGCCAAAGACATCTGTGCCACCGCTGCAAGTCTGGTAGTTGCTGAAGGGAAGTCAAATAACGCTTATAAATGTGTATTTTGTGATGGAAAACATTTGAGTGAATAATGCTGTAAAGCCATGTCAATGTCTCTTGAAGAAAGAAGAAAAATAATTCAAGAGAAACGGTGTTATTATTCTTGCTTGAAGTCCGGACACATTCCCAAGAAATGCAGAAACGTAGTGAAATGTGTCATCT